AATCATAAAAACAATAGATCTGTAAATTGCTATTGGTTTTGAGGTGATTGAATTAAGTTTTGACCGGGGGCCGATTTGTGGTCTTATTCGCCCCCGTCCTTTCCTTTTACTAAATAAATATCTTCATATTCAAATGATAGAGGTGATAATTTATTCGATAAATTTGATGCAATAATTGTACGAGAAGGATGTGCATTAATATTCGTTGTACTACAATAAGCATACCATGCAGGATTTAATGGTTCTACGTATTTGTGATATGATGCTAATAATGCAGGCAATGCCATATCACGCGGATTACCAAACGTAAAATCACCTAGATCAGATGATGACGATGCAGTTCTATGTTCAGAAATAGCGTTCACATACTCATTAGTAAGATATGATGAAAATCGTTGATAATGTGGTGAATTAATTGCTGATAATATTCGATGCGATAATATCGATGATGGGATCATTTCGTTTCTTCGATCGTTATTTGTGATATCACTAGAAGTGATTATTAATGTAGCACCGAAAGAAACAAAAAAAAAGGGCATCTTCCATATATATATATTCATAATTGTTTAGTTAAAGTAAATGCTATATTCTTTATTAACATCAGCCTCTTGAGCAGTCATGATAAACTTTCGAAGATTTTTCTCGTGAAATCATTCGATTTTTTATATTAAAAAGGTGGACATTTCCTTTCTCTACACATATCGTCGCACTTTTTATTTTATCTTGAATTATTTTGAGGAACAGACATTTAAAGCCAAGCAAATATCTAACAGGAAGATTTACCTATCATATATCGCATATATATAGTAAAACATTCATAGTGACTATCCCTACTAAGAACGTATTGCTTACAATACACCTCTGTAGAAAGAATTGATTTTGATAGTGAAACATGAATTGATTATTTTATAGGCCTATTAAATAGAATGGTAAAATAATCAAATGTCGAAAATGAAAAGGTTGACAATAAATATGTCGACAGATAGTGATAGCAAGAAGTTCGTCAAAGTATTTGTTTATAAAAAAAAATCTTAGGTTAACGAAAAATATAAGAGAAAAAATTAATATATATATATATATATATATATATCAGATAGAAAAGAGTAGGATAAAATAAGTCTAGTAGCAATCAAAATAGTATTGTGACAAAAATCTGTTATCGTTCGTATTTCTTGATTTTCAAATGAATAGGTGAGATCATGACGTATGACGACGTTGCATCGTGGTACAGTGAATATTTGAGAGAAGTGTCGGTTAAGAGACGAGCAACAATCATACTTCCATCCTCATTAGTCAACGATACCTTTGATTATCTTTTTTTAAACTTCTTCACATTATGCTACACTTTTATTTTAAGAAAAAAACAGAACGATATAACAAATTGCAAATAAATTCAAATGTATATTTCTTATTGAGTGGATGAAGTGGTGGTATGATATGAAGTTGAAAAACTTGGCAAACTTTCTAATATATATTAAAAATGAATTTATCAATTCACATCTTTTCTCAATACACTACAGACGAGGACTGATATTGCATCGACGTTTTTGTCGTTTGCATCGCGAAAGAATGAAAAAGATTTTGTTTTATTTCTTCAAAGCAGCACTTGTCATTACAGCTGTTCTAAATTTTACTCTCTTTTGTCTCCATATCCCATATGAACACTTTTTTCCTATTGTCACAAGATCTACTGATAATGTAAAGTTGTATCTGAAATTCGATGGGATAATAGGTTGATGGCTGGAATCAGACGAGTTATTCGATCATCAAAAAATATTTCATTCTCACGTCGAGGAAACGACGATTTTCGTTTTGTTTCTCTTCAGGCTAATCAGATTATCACACAAATATCACTATACTAATATTCTCTGAGAACAAACTACATAGAATGTGAACATGTTTGTGAACAAACGTACAATATCTGTATTTCTTCTCTTATTATGACTAAACAATGCACCTGTTCGACTTGAGGTATCGAATTCCATTGAGTTCATTATAAACCTTGAAAAAACTCGACTTATTGACTTCAAGTGTCTTAAAACTCTGAAGTTTGACATCTCTAAGCTTGTTTTCAATGATAATATAA